ATAACCTATATATATTAACTTAAAGTGGCGGCGGCAGAATAATCGACATTCTGTTCTTCTCCTCAAAATTTGTGTTCTATTGCTCTTCTATCACTCTTTCTTCTACATCTTTTCACTTTCTCTTCTCATCGAACCTAAAATCTCTTAGTGATCAAGACTGAATAGCAGTCTTGAAAAACTACAGTTTCCAAGCACCTAGGTGATGGATTTTTATTTATTTTTTGAATAATAACCATGAATCCTAGGGTAATTCCCTATGTTCCATAGCAAGCAGAAACCATATTTCACTAGTAGTTGTATACAACCTTCATAAAAATGTATAAACTTCATTTAAAGCAAAGAAAATCAACATATTCAGGAAAAAAAGTAAATGAGAAACCAAATTTCAGAAAATAGAGGAGGTGAGCCCCTATTTTTGTCCTAGAAAAAGAAGAAAAGGAATGATGAAACAAGAAGAAAAATTTTTTCCTTGCTTATCATTTAAGGTTTTGAAGTCTTCAAGGGTTCAACACAACTTGCATGTTGATTGAACCCTAACAAATAAGAAAATAAGAAAGAGAAATTAGTATTTTAACTCACAAACTGAATATTTTAGTTTAATAATGTTTGTTTCATTATTATAATATAAAAATTAAGAATATAAAAGTATATTATAGTACCATGTACAAAATACATTGGCGATTAAGCAAGACAACCCTCCATGGGGACCTTGATGTACAAAATACATTGGCGATTAAGCAAGACAATCCTAATACATTTTGTCTAAAAATAAAAAAAAATTATTTACAGACCAAAATCAAATGAATAAATCACAGGGTGCACAAATCTCGGTGCCAATAAAGAATTTGATCTCCATAACACCAACAACCCAAAAATTCAAGAAATAATAATAGAACAATTCTAAAATTATTGCAGAATAAAATAAAATTAATTTCAGATCAAATCGCTCAAAAACTGAGAACTGATTTCTCAGAAAACTGCTAATTGTGCAAATCGGGTAGAACAATTCTATCGATATGGGTCTGTTTCAGATCTGATTTAATTTTGGTTCAAGATTGAACCTAGCTCTGATACCATTGAAGGAAGGGAAAATACATCATATGGATGGCCGAACCATGCAGGGTGGCTGGGCGAAATTTCAAAAATTTCTTTTCTCCCTTCCGGGAATCGTATTCCCAGTTTTAGAAAAACTGCATTTTTCAAGGATCGTTCTTGAACCAAACCGGACCAGATCTAAAACCAAAAGAAAGGGAGAGCAATACCTGATACGGAATCCACACGTGTAGCTCCCAAAGTAGGTGTTCACGTCCAAAGAGGATACCAAAACCCGCTTCCACTGAACTTGGCGCAGCTTGAGATGAAGTAGGTTTAGCAATGCAGTCCTTCAGCAAGAATCGCAATCCAGTAGCTTGGGTCAAGCATGGGAGGTGAGCACGAAATTGATCTGATATTTTCTTGCAAAAATTTGAATCAGAACTGATCTCTATCAATTCAAGAATGGAGGTCGAATTAGGGTTAGGGCAGCAAGAACAGGAGGGAGGGAGAACTGAGAGCAGTGTGTAAACTTGGAGTAGTTCGCCCTCTTCTATTTATATAGATCTTAAAGAGATGATCTCCTAATCTAATTAGGAGTTATCTAATCCAAATCTTTATTTGGATCTGGACTCTTTAAGTGGATAAGACTTATCCTCTTATCCTTATCTGTTGATCCAAACCCATATCCATACCCAAATTCGCCCATGCTGATTAATCCAATTAATCTTTGGGCTTTAGGCCCATAAAGCAGGTGGCTCACGTCCCTTTATTAATTGTTGGCTAACTTGGCTCTCTATGTATGGCGTGGGACTCTAACATTGACCTCACAAAAGCCATATGGGTTCAGCTAGCTTCTGTGACAAAGCTTGGCCGAATTCACTGCTAAACACAGTGAACCCCTGAGTCCATCAGTATGGGCTCTTAATGGGCCCAACATTTACACTAAATGGTTCTTGAGTCCAGTCATCTTATGAAGGCCCAAGGACAATGGTCTTAAGTGAGATTAGTCCATCAGGTATAATAGCCCTAAATGGTCTTATACTTAACCTCTCAGCCCTTAATTATCAAACACTGCCCCGACAAGAGAGGACCTCTCTCTCGGCTACATGGTACAGTGTCGCACTGTATGCTCGGATGGATCCCGGGAATTAAAACCTTTTGCAAACCCTTTTCATAAAACATAATATATATTTTCATATAAATATATTTTGCAATACAAATCTCAAACACAGTTAAAATCGACTGCCGACAGTTTTGGTTTGCATCAGAGAGAGTGCAGTTCCTAATCATTCACTTTGTCCGACAAAGGGGCTGATCCTACCACTATGATCACCCACTTGAGTGCATTCTCAGACTGCCTCGACATACCCAGGTTTTGACCCCCTCTAAGGATCTCACTGATTGGCATATCAAAGATAGCCCAATCCGACACTCAGTGCAGTACCATAATCGAGTCTAGGGGTTAGGTGTAACTTTCCAGTTTTGCCCACCAGTCTCCAAGGTCCAGGGCATAGCTGGAAAATGGTCTTGGTTCAGTGCTTCAAACAAACATACACTACATGTGCTTCGAGTCTCACCCTGGTAGCTGAGACAAGCCACCCCAACCAACTTGGCAACACATTAGTGTCAGCCTTGGTAGGATAAACTTCCTCAAGTTTATCTAACGGCTGAGAACATTCTAAACTAATACGAGTCTCATAAGTGTCCAGTTTAATGGTAGTTACACAGAAACATACCAAATATAACACGAATCAATTATGTACTTTCACTCATTTATTGTAAATGGATCAGTACATCAATCTGATAGGAGCTAAGGGCATACATTGGTGCATGTGAATATTCCTTTTCTATTTCTTGAGAAGGTAAAAGGATGAAATATGTACAAGTAAACAATATATACAAAGAGTTCCCTATGCCAAAGTTCTCATGAAACTTTTTTCTATCTATTTATCTGTTTGTTTTCCCCTGTAGATAACACGCAGAGACGAGGAGATGGCACCTTTTGTTGCAGAAGTAAAAAGGAATTATATTTTTGGCGGAATATGTAGTGTTGCAGCAAATGTGTCAATTAAGGTTTGCATGAAACATTTTAGAATTTTCATTCTAAAATGAAAATTCTAGTTAGATTTATAGATTAATTAATTTAACTCTTTGTACTCATTACTGATGATAGAAAATGTAAAACTTTTTGCCAGGCATTGGCGGATATGAAATCAATCAACCTATTTGGGGTTCAGCAGATATGCCGAAACTCCATTGCATTGGAACAGGTAGGTCTCATTTGTAGGGATTTGCTTTGACATTTTAATCTTTCAATGTCACAAGTTCTTTTCATTTTTATGGAAAATTATTATTTATGATATTCATGTATATTTGGTTTGTCAATATTTTGGCATTTTTATCTGCAACATTTGTATATATGGTGAAACTTAGCTATATTTTAGGATATATTCTCGATATGAAGGATATTTTACTTTTCTATATCCCACATGCATATGATGGGTATTGTAATTGAAGAATAATTTAACCTTAGTTTTATGGAAGGGTTTAGGAAATATGCTGTGTATCAGTGATATTTGCAGCCAAAATTTTACATATAAAAACCAATATGCCTAGATACATATTTGGACATGGACATGGATATGGGAAAGAGGGACATTGACTCCTAATTTTCTCAAATTGAAGGCATGAATTTGGGTAGGGATATCCTATGTAACATGCTTATATCATGCTTCTATATCTAGTTTTTGAGGCTAATAAAATTTCTCAAGACGTGTCTTGCCAAATTTAACTAAATTTCTGATATCTATTATTAATATTATTATTATTATTTCTACAGTATACTTTTTTAAGTATCTATGCAGTATCCAGTGTCACACCCTAAGTATCTTGTCCAACACCTGTATGCTAGTCATGTGCTAATATCCAGGTATAACATCTAGAATCCTGTCATCTGGAATTCTCTTCCCTAAAATTGGAAGCTATTTCTAGAATACCTGAAATCTGGAAAGCATCACCAGAATGCTCAATACTTCTCAAAGATTTGTAGAACATCTTTAAGAGCCTAAGATTCTAGAAACACCATTCGCACTTCTTAGAATTTAATCACAAGGACATTCCTCTACCTTGCAAGGATATTATTCAGGTTTCTTCCGAAACATTAGTAGTAATAAGAATATTATCCAGATTTCTCCTGAAATTTCAGGAGGTTTCCTCTATGTGCATGGAAGACTTTTCCCATGTGGCTGGCTGCTATTATCAGGCTCATAACAGCATTTTCTTTTCAGTCTTCATCCACTCACTTTTTCCACTAAATATTTGTCTTGGTGGAAGTTGGCAAATAGTAGGCATGAGGTTACATGTAAATGTGATATGTGCATGAAAAATGTAGTGGTGGACCCTCTTGATTGAGTGTCTGTGCGATCTTAAAGTTTATATCGAGCTGTAACTGAACTCTTATTAGTGTTTTCCAAAAATAATTGTCTGTTGGAAGTTTCAGGGTTTATCAAGTCTGACCACATAGCAAGGATTTTTGTTTCAAATATGCCCCATTTATAGGTTTCCTCTTCTTATGAAGGTTTCAGAAAGGAATTATTAAAGTTTATGGTGATTATGATTCTCTTACTGAATAAAGTTGGGAAATAGATCTAATATCACATTCCGGAAAGACCATTGTTGTAAAGAAGGCACCTTTATGTTTCTTTCATCACAATTCTATGGGGTTTTGCTCAGATTAAAGAAACATTTTAGTTTATTTTCATTGCAAGTATCACTGCTTTGGAATCCATTATTCTATATACCCTTTCAGAAGCTTGAAGATATACTCATCTTGCTGGATGAAAGAAATGAAATTTTATGAAAATAGAGCAATGGTAAAATTTCTAGTTGTTCTTTCCATGTTTCCTTAGCTAGAAAAGATGAAATTGGAACTTTAGGATTGTTGTAGTGAGTGGTGGTTTGAGTGCCTAGACATGATTGTTGTAGCGAGTGGTGGTATGAGAGAAGAGGAGAAAAGAGAAAAGATGGAAGAGGACAAGAAAATTAAGGCTTCAAACCATAGCAAATGGGCAGATATCACATTATAAAGTAATCCTAAATGGGCAGATATCACATTAAGATCCCTGATTATAACTTATTTACCCAAATACCCTTTTTTTCAGCAAACATGTCCACCGCAACATGTGCTAGTAACAGTCCAATAACAAAAAGTGTTGTGGAATTTGAAAGGTCAGACAATCTCACAAGCATTTCTTCAAACAACTTCTATGCATCCTAACATGTACATGCTAGAAACAGAATTTATTAGACAAACATTTACTGCTCATTACCACCATGTCCTTTACCTTTAAATATGAAATTTTACATCTTGGTTTATTTAAAATCTTTCAATAATCAAATCAGCATCCCAAAGAAAGCACTTTCTCCTTAAAACAGCCAAGAACAGCAGGTCAAAGAAACAACCAATTCTCACCCGTCATAGACAATAGAATCAGCTGCCTAAAACTCTCTCAAACTGCAAGATGAGTGAACTGTAAAGACAACAAAGGCTGAACAAAGGAATGATTTCAACTATTAAAACTAGACTTTGATGAGGGAAGGAGTACAACTTTTAACATGTTAGATTAGATTCGAAAATAGGAACAAAAACGAGGGAGTGGTCTAGACTCTAGAGTAGTCATCATACTAACACGACAAATCAGTTTATCTGAACACAAACCAATCAAATAAAAAGGGAGAACTAGTATTACAAGAACAAAAAGATTTGAATTATAGCAGAAAAGTCTAGAAAACTTGTTAAGAATGAGTAGACACTAAACTAGACAAACAGGTAGTAAGAACTATGGAAGGAAAGAGAAGAAATGCCCCCCCCCCCCTCCCCTTTTATTCCCAATAAATCTTGGTTAAGTTTTCTCAAAAAAAAAAGAGAAGAAATGCCGATCAAAATACAGAAATAGATTTCACAACTAGATCTAAATTTAATTGACTGCTCTGGAGTGTTGTTGTCATTTTCATCATCCTCATCAGAGTTTATCTGCTTTGATACCATGCTGTCGTGAGAGAAATAAGAGAAAAGAAAAAATAAAATGAAAATTAGGGTTTCAAATCATAGTATCATCTCACTCTCAAATAACAGAGATGCTTCAAATTAACACTGTAGATATCCAAATTGCGAAGTAGACCCTAATGGAGCAGATTTACATTAGGATCCATGATTATAACTCCAACAATGTTATTCTTCGGTATATGCTAGCATTACTTTGGGTAAAAGGGACACCGATATTTTCTAATTACCATAACATTGCAGGCCCTTGCAGCTATCCCATCAATTGATAGTGAAGCTGTCCAACAAAGATTTGATCGTGTTCGGACATACTACGAGCTTCTAAACTTGCCATTTGAGGCATGCTCAATCACTTTTATTGGCTTGAGATATTTATTCCCTTTGTTCACCTTTCTAAACATCTTTTTTCATTCTATGTTTGCACTTTGCAGGCCTTGCTTGCCTCCATTACCGACCATGAATACTTGTTCACAGCAGCAGAGTAAGTTGATGAAAATGGATGTCATTTAGCAATAGTTTGGAAGTGGTTGTCAATAACACATGTATTTTGTTTTGCAGATATTTAAGTCTTCTAAAGGTGGCTGTCCCAGGCAGAGAGATCCCTACTGATGCAAAGGAGCGGGTATCACAGATTTTATCCCATTAGCCTTCTTTGTGTTGGGTTTTACTACTATGTGGTGGATTGAATATCAAGGCAACCTGTTAGGGAAAAGGTGCAATGTTGCAAGCATGTGTAATATCGAATTATTCCTCTTTAATGATATCTGGATAAGCAGCAGTTACTTTCCATGAGGCTGCTCAATCTTTTTTACTTGAAGATGCTATGTTGTGTAATCTTTGTGTAGTCATATACAACATTTGTATATAGCTCTATGAGGGTGTTAGTTCCGGCATTTGATGTATAAGTTCTTGATTTTTTGTTTTGTTTTGTTTTTTTTTTTTTTTTTTTGTTTTTTGCTTAGAGTATGCCATATTGATTGTGTAATCATAACTTACAACATTTTGTGTATGGATCTATTCAGGCTTTTTTTTTTAAATTGTGTTTATTATTACTATTATTATTATTATTATTATTATTACTAAAGTAGTTGGTGCCACCTCACATAGCCTTTGCTTTTTCCCCCTTGGATTTGCATTTGGGAATTAGATCGGTGGGGACCATTTTGTCCTTTGTTGATGGTGTAAGGGGGAGCTTGTTAGTGTACGAGTGGTGTGGTAAGGTTACATGCGATGGTCTCCTTGAAAGATGAAGGCAAAGGGCAAAAGGTGTGTTAAGGGCTTTGATTAACAAAATGTCCTCCCTCATTATGAGTTTGTCATCTTTTTATAGGGAGAGATCTTGAGATCCTGAAAAAGAGCTAAAAGAGTTTGATTCCCATTTTGAAAGGGAATTTTAGATTCGGTGTTAGTTGTTAGGGGGGACACCGTTAAGAGTTCGCCATGTGTCTTATGAGATCTTTTAGGGATGAGGTTTTCTTTCGTTTGGGCTCATTGCAAGCCCACAATGGCTCTGAACTCATCGTAAGTTCGCAATGGCTCTGAGTTCATCGTACACTCATGGAAACTTTGGGTTCGTCGTCAGTGATAGTTATAATTATATAACCCTAGTAAGTATTAGAACTATAACTTCCCTCAATTATTTGGACAACCGAATTTTGGATCTAACAATAGGAACTACTGAAAATCAAAGATAGAAAAAGAAAAGAGATAAAAACAAAGGCAATCAATGACTGAACTTGCAACGATTTAACTGAAAGTGTTAGGATTATTGCTCCACCTAACCTTTCCAATGAATATCAATTTATTAAATTAACCAAGATAATTTATTATTTTCATAAGTTGAAATTTTTCCAAATTTATTTAATATTCCCTTCTAGGATATATCAAACCTACTTCTATCAAGTAACATTTCGATTCCTCGATTAGAGTTCTCGAGATAGAAAGTGCGTTAAGTTCTATGAAAAACCTGTATCATCAGATGAATCATGTATATATATTCTTATATACCATTCAATTCACAGTATGAGTTATTTAGTCTAATATATGAATTCTCCTTCCGGTTCATTCACATAAACCAAATCAACTAAGAGGTGGCCAAGCTCCTAATTGCATTACACATAATAACTCATAGACAATATGAAAATAAAAACAGCTTGGTTGAATTAAATAAAAATTAATCCATGGTCGTGGTTAGGCTTTTCATAGCCCCAGCTATAAATAAATTAGTTAATGATAAAGAAGATTAAACAAGCAAGGTATAAGAAAGAACTCATGATGTCGCCCTTGAAGTTGAGATCGATGAGGTTGTCTTCTCCTTGCCGCTGCCTTCTTCTCCTCTTAGGTTGCTGACTACTTCTTTGAAAGTTAAAGTTCTCTTGGAGGACTTTTGATTGCTCCCTAGATTGATTGATGTCTGATGCTAGTCCCCCCCCTCCCCCCCACCCCTTTATATAGCTTTAGGAGGAGGGGTTGTTTCCAACTCTTTTTTGGAGTTCTTTCTAAAAAATAGAAAGTCCTAATTCCTAATGATTAGTTTAGATTTAATCCTATCTCTTATCTGGTAATCTCAATCTCCTTTATCTTTCTAGAATTACATCAGAAAATTAAATCTGATAAGACTCTTTACAGTTTTCTTATTCTTGTATTCGTATTGGGCTTCTTCAACGAATTTGGCTGCTGCAAGGCTTCTTTTTGAACTGGGCTTCTGCTGCGAATTGGTCTTCTACTGCGAACTGGGCTTCTCTACGAATTTGCTCAGACTTCGGGTCCGATTTTGACTTTGATGCAATCCGAATCTATCAAAACTCAAAACATTAAAGTTGTAGAGTTTTTCCTTATCTTTCCAATGCATCTTGAATCATCTCAATCGGAGTCCGGATTGGAGAGTTATGCTCAGATTACTACGCGGCGCCAAAACTGTGCAAAATTACCCGATTAACCTTGTTTTTCTCCTGACGCCTTCTTTCATGCCTTGAATCGAAATACAAGCATAATGAGTCCAATTAAGTACTAATTAAGTATAAAAGAGTGAATATTTAGGGTTAAAAATATGATAATTTTTATTCCTATCAAATCCCCTCATACTTAAACCTTGCTTGTCCTCGGGCAAGACAAAATTCAAGCAAAAACAAAACAAACAACTATCCTTCCAATCTTTAAACTCAACTCTCCTTCATCTTTCTCCACAAATATTCTAGGTTAACTATTGCAAACCGTTAAATTAACACAACTCATTCATTAGTCAATCCAATTTTTGCTATTACAAGCCAGGTAGTAAATCAGGGAAAAACTCTAATTTTATTTTCTTATTTTTTTATTTTTATCGGTAGTGAGTGCATTTTATGCTCCGTCCTACTGTTGAATTTGCTAGCTAGTAGGTGCATTTTATGCTCCATCCTACCAATTGTAGCAATGGTAAAACAATTACCCCATTTACTTAAACCTGAATTTAGGACTAGCTTAACTGGAAATGGCTTCAGATAAGTCATGTACTCCTTGATCGTACCTCATTACTAGGTTCACAAGAATTTTCCTAGAACATTATTTCAATTGATTTCAAAAGAGTTGAGGTTTTGATATATATATATATATATATATATATATTGAACTGAAATAAAATCCTATATTCTCCCCCCCCCCCCACACTTAGTCTACGTATTGTCTTCAATGTAAGGAAAAAAAGAAAAGGTGGAAATAACTTAACTATAAAAACAAGAAGAGAAAAAAAAAAACAAACTTCCCTGTTTTTAATCATAAACCGGATCCTCCAGGTCTCGTAGTTGCAACTTTCGATGTTTTCCCCTCTTATCCATCATGGGTGGGTTTAAATCTGGAATAGGGGCCTGCATAATAGATGGGATGAGTTTTGTGTGAGCTGGAGGAGTTTCAATGGAAGGTTGCAATTGCTTGGTAGAGGTTGGTCCATCCAATGGTAAAAATTTTCCTTGTCTTGGCTTGAATTCTTCTTGATCGGCCTCCAAATAGTTCAAAACCTCCTTAATTTTCTTCATCCAAGACCTGCACATTTTTACAAGAATTAAGAATGCAATGTTCTAAAGGATCATCTGATTTAGATGCATCGACTTTAGCTGCCAAAATATCAATGCAATCACTTACATATATTTCATGTTCAATTGTGTTAGGATATTTCATGGTTTTAAATACATTAAATACTACTTCTTCATCATTGATTCTAAGAGTAAGTAGACATTTTTGTACGTCAATTAAAGCATTACTAGTAGCAAGAAAATGTCTCCCTAAAATCAAGGGCATTGTCCTATCTTCCTCCATATCCAACACAATGAAGTCAGTAGAAATAATAAAATTGCCCACTTTGACTAAAACATCTTCTACTATTCCCCTATGATATTTAATGCTTCTATCAGCTAATTGCAGGGTAATAGTAGTAGGTGTTAGTTCACGAAATCCAAGTTTTTCAAAAATAGAATATGGCATTAGATTTATACTAGCACCTAAATCGCATAAAGCTTTTTCAAACTCAATATCTCCTATGGTGCAAGGAATAGAAAAACTCCCTAGGTCCTTGAGCTTTGGGGGCAATTTATTTTGAAGAATTGCTGAGCACTCTTCGTTTAGTTTCACCATTTCGCATTCCTCCCATTTCCTTTTATTTGATATCACCTCTTTCAAGAATTTGGCATATTTTGGCATCTGCGACAATACATCAAGAAGAAGAATGTTAATATGTTTTTCTAAACACCTCTAAAAATTTTTCAAATTGTTTATCCAAGTTAGCTTTCAAAACTCTTTTATGGTAGGGGAGAGGAAGTTTAATGGCATCTAAATTTAGTTTAGGTATACTCCCTTCGATCTCCATTTGTGAATCGGCTACCTCAACTTTTTGATCATCATCCTTGATCTCGCCAATAGTCTTTCCACTTCTTAAGGCAATGGCATTCATTTGCTCCCTTGGGTTCTTCTCTGTATTGTTAGGCAATCGTCTCTCTCTTCTTTCTGACAGCATGCTCACAATCTGCCCCACTTGAACTTTTAAGTTCTTAAAGATGCCTCTTGATTTAAGAATCTCTTTTCGTGATCTTGGAACTTTGCTTTAGCAGTATTAATGAACTTAGAAATCATGTCCTCTAAATTTCCCTTTTTATCTTGCGAGGGCGGCCGTTGTTGAAATCCTATGAGTGCTTTTTGTTGGTTGTTATTCCATGAAAAATTCAGATGACTCCTCCACCCTGGATTGTATGTATTTGAATAAGGGTTAAAATTTGGCCTGCCACCATGAGAAACAAAATTAACACTTTCATGTGAAGCAAAATGATTACCTACCTGACAATCAAAATTTATATGTTCCAATTGGCCACAAAGATCACATGGATTACAAGATGACAAATTTATTACTGCAACACTAAGATTGTCAAATTTTTTCAAAGTAGCAAGCTGAGCAGATAAAGCTGAAAAAGAATCTAGATGATGCACTCCCCTTCGATCAGCTCGGTCATTATTCCATTGGTAGCTATTTGATACCATCTCTTCCACTAGATTATAGGCTTCCTTTGGAGTTTTCCTCATGATTGTGCCTCCTGTAGCTGCATCAATAATGGAGCAATTAGATGGAGTAATACCATTATAAAAAGTTTGAATTTGATGCCAAACTGGTATTCCATGGTGAGGACACTTCTTAAGCATCTCTTTAAATCGTTCCCACGCCTCATACAAAGATTCCCTCTCTAGTTGAACAAAAGTAGTAATATCATTGATCAATTTTGCTAGTTTAGAGGGAGGAAAATACTTAGCCAAAAATTTATGAGTCAAGTCGTTCCAAGTAGTGATACTTCCTGTAGGGAATGAGTTAAGCCAATCCTTAGCTCTATCACGTAATGAGAATGGAAAAAGTCTAAGCCTAATAGCATCATCGCTAACTCCATTATGCTTGAATGTGTCGCATATTTCTAGGAAGTTAATGATATGTGCATTAGGATCATCACTCGACAACCCACTAAACTGAATACTCGTTTGGATCATTTGGATAATTGCATACTTGATCTCAAAATTATTGGCTTGAATCGTTGGCTTGCAAATGCTAGAAGTAGCCCCATCARTTGTTGGACAAGCATAGTCCAAAAGAGTTCGATTTGCTTCATCTGCCATCTCTTCCTCAACTTCTTCTGCTAGTTCGCCTCCTTCAACCCTCTCTCTCTCTCTCTTTACTTTTGTTGGCTCTTTGCAGTATGCGAAGGGTTCTCTCTATTTCAGGGTCGAATTTTGTTAGTTCTTCACCTCTAGTGTGTGTCATACACTAACTAATCTGAACATAGCAAGAATTTGAACACATTAAATAAAGAGTAAAATCCAAATTAACCAAGGTTAACAAGTTCTAATATTATTTTAGGATTAAATCCCCAGCAACGACGCCAAAAACTTGATAGCTATAATTATATATGTTAGACAGTTTAAGTATGCCCTTAGCTTCAATCTGATTTGATGTACTTTTGTTATTTAGTGGAAATAAATAAAGTGCATGTTTGATTCATGTTGTTTGGTTTAATTCTGTGTAAAACCCT